TTTCTCGTAATCAACAAAAATGAGAGTTTTAAGGTATTTTGAGTTTTTATATATTTCTGCCTAATTGATTAAAAAAAAAAAAATCATACGAATCGAAAACCTTAACTTAAATATTATGAAATGCACATGTTAATCTGCATTACTAACAGCAATTATTCAATGTATAATTAATACAACGATTTAACCTTTTCAGTCACAAATTACTAGCGAAAACAATTTACTCCCTGATGACAATGACATTGATGAAGGTAACCCAATACTACATGGTGAAGTTGCCACTGATAATAACTTGACAGAACAGAATATTTTGGATAAAATGATTGCTCCTCCGTCAGATCATGGCACCGCGATTGAAATAGATGTTCAACCAACAGCTTGGATTGATGAAGAATATGATGAAGAAACGTTGGATAGAGAAATCTGGTTTGAGGTAAGTTATTACATTTGATCAAAAAATGAAAGTGGTTTATTACCAATGTTTTAAGAACGTATTCTAGTTGAAAATTTCCTTGAAAGTTTTAAATTAATTTCAGGAATCTAAGTCATTATGAATAGAAATCTCAAAATTTTTGAAAATAAAAATGATCAAGTAGGGTAGGGCGGGGCTAGTTGATCACTTTTTGATTCGACCTTCCATAACTTTAAGATGATGTATCGGATTTAATCAAGTCATATACTGTTAGGTTCGTAATTTAGTCATCTTCAAAAGGTCTAGCGACACAAAAACGATCCGAGTCCAAATTTTCGAGTTATTCCCGGAAATACGCGAGCGCTCCAAATTGCTCAACGTGCCCTACTAGTGAGGCTAGTTGAGCATGGGTATGAGGCTAGTTGTGCAAATGGCTAAAATAGACGAAATGGCTGTATAGAATGATATGAAAACAAAATAAAAGTGTAATTAACGAGCAAATATTTGATTTATTATAATTCTACATACGTATAATTATGATTATAATAATAATTATAAACATAACAATATTAATTATAATTATGTTATATATTTATTAATATAATATCAATATGAATTATTTTAATTTTTCCACATCATATTAAATCATTACATGTACAAATCAATTGATAATTATTAATTTAGTAAAGAAAAATTTCATTTTTCAATATTGAAAATCTAGTAGGGCTGGTTTAACATGCAGTTAGCGCCTTGCTCAACTAGCCCCAATTGAGGCAACAAAATAAAAGTTAGGTTATAAAAAAATGATAAGAATTAAAAATAAACAATCATATATAATCGAAAGGGCAAACATTAAGTCATCTTTGAATACTTTCGTGATCACGAAATAGCATTTTTAAAAGAGTGTAGGAGAAAAATTCTAAAAACCCGTTTTTTTTTTGACGCAAAAAAAAAAAGAAAACGTTTTGTCAGTTAATCTAAACATCGGACGGCAGTTGACTTTCGCGCGATGTGTTCTCCTCTCGTAACCCTTTCTTTTCACCATTTACACTTTTGTTGTAAGTTGCTTAGTTTTCGAGATATTTCAATTGCACCACTTGCCCCTATGATCAACTAGCCCCGCCCTACCCTACATAATTTTTTTTTACGCCCTTATGACTTTGAGGAAGTATTTCGGGTAAAATAATACTATGTCACGAATAGTCGATTTCACGCGAAGAGAGAGAAGTAAGACATTTCCACCCGCATGAAATATAGTCTCCTTTGTCAAACCGTTTCATTGGTTTGTTTATTAAGGAAATGTGGCACTTTTTTCGATAATAAAGTGCAGAGATTCAGAAGTTTCGATGCAAGTATATTGAAAACAAAGTTTTTTAGACCTGTCAACAAATTTTAAGAATCTGAAAAAAAAGTTGAGAGTAAAAATTTGAGAATTTTTATTTTCGCTTCTGCATATGATTATTAGTAAAAGATTCTTTTATTATTAACGTTTTTATACAGCATTTAGAAATAGATAGATATCAGAATAATGACAAATCCTTATATCTGTAACGCACTGTACTATTTAAATAATCTCTGTTTATAGGCTGAAGATTCACAATCAGTACCAGATTGTTATACGAGCTGTTTTGAAAATTTTAATCAGGTAATTTGGTATTTTTCTTTCCGATGATATACTGGCTCATAATTAATGTGTGTTAACACAATACTCTAAAAAATTAAGGGAGCAAAAATAAAATACAATTTTTTTCATGATTTTCGACGGACTCTATTTAAGTAAAAAATAATCATATCACAAAGGTAAGCGAAGAATTTTGAAGCTCTTCGGCTTTAGTTTTTTAAGATTCTGAAAAAAAAAGTGTTTAGAGCAACGGAGTTAACGCAGTCATAAGGAATAAATATAAAAAAAAACATTTTTTAAGTTTTGAATTTTCTTTTTACCGGTACGTGGTCTTTGAAAAATTTCTTCTTGTTAAACAATCATATAAACCAGGTAGCCCATTTATTGAGCTACAATTATCTTTTTTAGATGCTTGTTACATACATTTGTTGGAAAGATATTCGAAATTGATCAACAAAAGACCCTTCCGTCTTCAAATATCGATATCTTTGCAATTAATGATCCTTCAGTCAATTCAAAGAGAGTTTCAAAAACTGCAATAAATTTTTGTCGAAATATTAAAATAAAAAATTATTGCTTTGAAAAATGTTAAAATTATTGGAAAACTCAATTTTTTTTTTTGAAAAAAAGTTAAATTTTTGTTAAAGAACGATGGATTTTATGATGAAATTCATAAACAATGTTTTCAGAGTTAACATTTGTTTTGTTGCAGGAAAATTTTTTTTTCTCTTCGCGTGGAATCCATAGTTCAAAACTTAGTGGTCTGAAAATCATAAAACTAATGTCTTGAAACTTCATAAATACTTTTTTTAGATTTGTGATACGATTACTTACGCCAAAAAAATAATTAATTACAGTTTGTTCCGATTTCTATTTACTGAATACTAGTTTGAGACCGTGATTATAAAATATATGAACGTTTTATAAACCTTCTTAACAGTTATCATCTACTGTAATGACATTCAAAAATTTTAGATGCAATTGAGCATATTCATTATCATTTGAGCCAATTTTTTTTATCTTAGCTTTATATCAGATCATTATTACTCGAATTGTAGTTAGCTGGTAATGTCTTAGTATGTGTTCTAGAAATTTACAAAATTTCTTTACTTTTATTTACAGAATGATAACAAACATACCCAAACTGGTCATAATTATGAGGAAAGACTTTGTAATTGTACGACGATTACGCGGGGTGAAGCTTTGATGATGGTACTTTCATTGGCAGCTGAAGAATCACTTACATGGAAAACGGTCACCGCAATTTTATCTTTAATTAACACTTTGTTTCAAAATAATGTTGTTCCTGAATCAAAATATAAATTATTTCAAGCATTAAATCTAGGTGATGATATTATAGAATATCATCTATATTGTAATGACTGCTTCTATTATTTTGGTGCAAAAAAGAAACCAGATAAAGAAGGATTGGTGTGCGAAATTTGTAAAGACAGTGAAACATCTACAGAAATTGCTTTTTTTTTAACATTTGACGTATCATCGCAGTTAAAATTAATCTTAGAAGATCGATCACATTCTTATCAGTATTATTACTACTTGATAGGATGATAAAAAAAAAGTTTGGAAAATCCAAAAGTGCACGCCTCATAATCTCATTTTTTAAAATAAAATTGAATAAAATAAAATATAAAAAGCAAAATAATAAAAAACAGAAAACACTGCTATGGTTTAGTGGCGCCATAACTGCAAGGTGAGGAAAAAAAATACTATAATAAAATGTATAGATAGAAATACAAAAAAATCCACAGTCATATATTAGTTTTTTATAAATAATAATTTAACGACAGTGAATTGAACGCTCATATTAACTAAGAAATTCTGTCGTGTGTTACTTTAGATAATTAAAAAAAAATTATTCCGGTACGATCATTTTTTCGACCAATTTCCCTGCCACATACACCCATTCATACACGGACGTCCAAAAAAGATAATGTTTAATGTTATTATTTATTATGTTAAACAAAAAAATTGTTATTGAAATATATTTTATGTGCCTGAAAAATTATTTGACTTGACATAAGTGTACTCATTTTAACCTGTAAGTGCGATATAAATAACAAAAAATCAATTTCAGTTTCGAGAAAACTGCTTTTTTCGTAATGTCGAGAGTAGAGCACAACCTCAACGCTTCGCTTATGAGGCGTGCAATAAAATAAAAAACTTAAATGAAAATATCGTTATATAATTTAAGCCTTTTAATATATATACATATATATTACAGAATTTCAAACTCTGTTCGTTCGTGATTAATTAATGGAACGTATGTTTTGTTTATAGTATGAAATGTAGAAAGTGGATGAGAAAATATTAAATTTTTTATTTCAATAATTTTTTTTTCATTAATTGTAATAGTTTTCACTACACGATAAGCATTCAGTTTTCGTTCAAAAAATAAAGTATCCAGTGTAGAATAAACAATATATTTCAAATCATTGTAAATAAATATTTCATCAACTTGACCAAACTTGGGCAGAGTGTCATCATCACATTCTAATAATATTATTGCTCCTGAATGATAAGAAGTTCCAAAATTCATGACTTTATTTGTTCGCAACATTTGACACGTTAACCAGTCATTTTCATCTATGACGTTTTGAAAGATTCTAGAATATGGTAGGTTGCATATTAATACCGGATTTCCTGCACTCACATAGTCATCTTGATACAAAAATTTTTTTGCTGGCATTCCTGGTGGAGAACAAAGTCTTGAACATAATCTTGATTGATGAAGATATGACAGTGTAACTGCCAAGTTTTTAAAACTTCGAATAACAGTAACAAGTGCTTTAAAATAAGCGTGAGCAGCTTCAAATCTAAAACACCATAGCTGTCTTGCAGGTCCGAAGAGTTTTATGTAGTATGGAATGTGCATCATAAAATGAAATTTAGGAACCATTAAATTTGGGTACAAATGATTAAAATTTATTAGAAATACTTGTATCATATGATCTAAGTAATCAACTGTATCTTCATGAATCTCATAAGCTAAAGAAACCTTAATAATATCCAACATTTGCATGTAACAAGAAATTTGTTCTTCTAGCTCACTCGCGTTATTTTCTACAATCCACTCTCCTATTAAAAATGGCAGAGCATAAAATAAAGCTAAAAATTGTGCTGCACTCTGTCGAAGGTGACCTTCTTCAGTAAGATGAGTACTCAAAATTAAAGCTGGCTTGTCATTCTGAAAATGTTTAAAATCAAAATTTTCTATATTTTCATTTAACTGGTCAAGAGTGAATATTTTTTCTACGACAATACAGTAACGAAGAAATGCTCGACAAACAATTTCTCCGACTCCTTCAATTAAGACGTGCATAGCATCTTAGGGAAAACACTTCGTTGCATCAAAAAAAAGGATACCCGCTAGAGGACTTTGTTTATTTATACCATATTGTGTTTTCCAAAATTCCTGTGCTGCATTAGTTATAGATGCATCTGACACTACGTCAACATGCTCTTGGTGATCAGTTTTATTTCGTAAAATGAAATTTTTAGTTGAAAAATTTTGGCGCCATTCATCCTTAGTTGTCATACAAGTTCGGCATGGTCGATAAGCTGCAACAGATTCTTTGAATCCTCCCAACATAGCAGACGCAGGAGTATCACCAGCAGAAAATATAACAGACCCTTTAAAATTTTTTACTTATCCGTTTACATGAATTGTTTAACCGCTAGAAAAGAGATCTAGTCAAATACTTATAAGAGAAATTACGCCTTCGGGCTTAATCGTTAAAACTCGAGAATAATCGTATGAACTCGGGAATAATCGTATCACGCTATGGCCGTCGCACATGCGCGCCTTGGTTAGCGGTAGAGAAGCCGGCTCGCGTGGTCTGCTGCAACAGTTGTGCTTGGACTTCTGTACTAGTACGACTACTCTGTGCTAATCAATTCTGACAATTCTTACTTGCATCTCACATTCATTCAAATATTTAAATTATTCATTAAATATAAATAATTATAGTAGATTCAACTATACTTTAAATTCTCAATTCATTTAAATCAGTTTAATAAATCAGTGAATTAACATAAATAAAATCAAGTAAATTTATTTAGTGACGCCACGCGGCCATTACGCGCCACCGTGACAAAAGATTGCATCAGCCACGCGGCTTTAGACAATCCATAATCGACGCGTGATATTAACCATTAATTACATTGAATTAATTACTAACATTTAATTACGATCTTATTTCATTTAACTTGAATTAATTATTAACATTCAATTACGATCTTATTTAATTTAACTTATAAATAATTAAATTCCAACTTCAAATCATTTGACTAATTTCTACACGAAAAACATCAAACTCAATTGACTAACATTCTGTTATCAATCGAATATTATTAGCTCTCACCTAGAGACAAGTGAACATTAATAGCTCTCACTCTGAGACAGTTCAAATTAATTAGATATTACCAGCTCCCACCTTGGGACTTATCTAATTCAAATTATCGATAATTTTCTATCTAAGGCGGCTGAGCTCACCCCTATTGCGTTATTGCAACGTAATTTACGCACACACACACACACTTACACACATACAACTTACGTGTATAATTTTCATCAAGGAGGTTTTTCCCAGCCTAGCTGGGTTTTCCTCCTTTAGGGACAAATAAATTCTTCTAAATTGTTCCCCAAAAAACCCAAGTATTATTATTTAATTTCCTAAGCCCAACTTTATCGTATAATTTAAAAACAATTACGGGAATTATCCGCATTGGATAGTTTCCGACAAAACACTAATTTCTACATGAAAAACATCAAACTCAATTGACTAACATTCTGTTATCAATTGAACATTATTAGCTCTCGCCTCGAGACTATTTATTTAACTAATTAAACATTAATAGCTCTCACCTTGAGACAATTCATCTAATTAATTAAACATTATTAGCTCTCGCCTTGAGACAATTCGTCTAATTAATTGAACATTATTAGCTCTCGCCTCGAGACTATTTATTTAACTAATTAAACATTAATAGCTCTCACCTTGAGACAATTCATCTAATTAATTGAACATTAGTAGCTCTCGCCTTGAGACAGTTCATCTAATTCGACAAAACATGAATGTTGATTCCGACTGTTTGTAATTTAACAATATCGTTAATGAATGGTGCTAAAATTTTACTTATTCCATTTGGTTGCTTCAAGTGTTCCGTTCGTACAATAGCATAAAGTTGAATGATATTTAACGATGATCGAACTTCTGGTTTTATATTTGCCAAAGTCCAATAAAACATCGATAGTTTATGTTTCTTTGCTGCAACACCTAACAGATTACCAACAACAAGGTCATCATAGTAAAATATAATGGCTAAAGCATCTTCATGGTTTTTAAAAAATTCATGGTTTTTATAGGAACATCCATCCAGTACTGTACGATAAACATTATCGAAATTACTAGTTTTATTTATAATGCTAGCATAGACTTCAGGATTTGAAATAAGATTTTTTAAATTTTCCCAAAAAGGTACATAATACCCCTCATAGTTAACTGTTCGGACCTTAGCAGAAGTTTTAAAACCAAACGCTTTTCTTTTCCAAATAAGTTTTGAGCCAATTACAATTTTCTCCGCCCAGACCATATTGAAATTCTCTTTCAATACTTTGTCAAGAGACTTTTTAGATTGTATTGAAGAAAATATTGTTGATGGGGGATAAGTTTCAGTACATATATTCCTTATGTCCGTCAACTTTACGGTTTCATCTTCACCATTAACACTCTTGTTTATTTCTCCCTAAATATAAAAATATAAATATTAGTACGGTTAATCAATTCAAAAAAATTTAAGTTTTTACCATTAAAATTGATAAATAATCATCCACTAAATTTGTTACACCTTCCATCATGGTTTCCATAGCTTTCTGAGAAACTTTACAGTTTTTTCGTATGTTAACAGCGAATTGGGCTGACTTCAGCTGTAAAATTTCCTTGTGTGTTAAATTTTTGAAGTGAAACTTCTTTAGGCGCATGAGGGTAAAATTTTTACAGATGAAACGTCACGCCGGTATGCAACGGAAGTGTCGGAAAAGAGAGAGAGAGTGATCGAGACCGATTGAGAGAGAGTAAGACAGGGCGAACGTAGCATGAGCAACTAGCCGTGGAGTGAGAGTAGGGAGCAAGCGAGTGAGAAAGATTGAGAGAAAAAGTGAGACAGAGCGAACGTCGTATCACGCATAGTGCTATGGAGTGTGAGGTGGGAGAGAGCTATAGTGAGAAAGATTGAACAAGAGAGAGAGAGAATACGGGATATCGAGAAAGAATACACGCCCTATTGGTTGTGTATTCGTTTACTAGTTAATTATTATACTAATAATTGTTTCTTTATTATTAAAGTAAAACTTCTTTATCGACGTATGAGAGAAATTTTATAGCAATATAAAAAAAAAACGTCACGATTGTCGGTTACGCTCCA